CAATTACTATCGCACATTCAGGGTTGCCACCCGCGACAGAGGAATTAGCAAACCACTTCGCCGGTCGCGCCTGTGGTGCTGCGCTAGATTTGTACTCAGGCTACGACCAGCGTGACATCGATCCAGCTAGTCGCGACTTGACTACATTCCAGTCACCGTTCGGTGCACTGAGGTTGGTCAAGCTCCCACAAGGATGGACCAACTCAGTACCAATATTCCATGAAGACGTTACTTTCATTTTGAAAGACGAAATCCCTCATGTTACTATTCCATACATCGACGACGTACCCGTTCGAGGACCTGGAACCAGGTATCTGTTACCGATGGAACCTGTGAAACGATTCCGGAAAATCCTGGGATCCGTCGCTTCGTATGGGAACACTTTCAGAATGTGAACCGCGTCGTGCACAGAATCGGCTACTGTGGCGCGACTCTGTCTGGTACCAAGTCGGTGGTTTGCGCCGACGAGTTCGCTGTGGTTGGCCACATCTGTTCGTTTGAAGGTAGAAAACCTGACGCGGACAGAGTTGGTGTAATCATGCGTTGGCCAGACTTGAGGGACGTCTCGGAGGTTCGACAATTTATGGGCACGATTGGGGTCATGCGAATGTTCATTAGAGGATTTTCTGAAATGGCGCGACCAATTCAGAGACTGGTGAACAAGAATGCGCATTTTGAATGGGGTGACAAACAGAAACTCGCATTTCAAAGACTTAAAGACGCGATACAAGTCTGTCCGTTGCTTAAGCCTCTGAACTACGAGTGGGACTCTGAGATTGTCGTCGCAATAGACACATCCTGGATGGCCGCGGGTTTCGAAATTTACCAGCGCGACCCAGATGATCCAAAGAAGGTCTATTACGCGAAATTTGGGAGTATCCCGCTTACAGAAAGAGAAGCTAGGTTTTCTCAACCGAAGCGTGAACTTTATGGTGTGAAGCGCGTGCTTCAAGCCATGGCTCACTGGCTCCTTGGTTGTAGAAAATGGTAGTCGAAACCGACGCGCTGTACTTGGCAGGCATGCTAAGGAACGTTGGTAACCTGCCAAATGCAAATATCAACCGTTGGGCTGAGGAGATCCTCATGTTTCAGTTTACCTTGAAACATGTCAGAGGAATCACCTTCTCACCAGATGGCTTGTCGCGACGACGACCTGCGCCTGGAGACGAAGAGTATCCCAATGACGAAGAGGAAATCTTCGACGAGCCACCACCAGAGAACAACGAGAATTGGGATTACGACACAGAACAACCATTAGACTTTGAAGAGTTCAAAAGGGACATTGACACCAGAGGTGGCTACCTTAACTCTATGGTCGGGTGTGCTGAGTCGGTCGACGACATATCCAAAGAGCTAGTCGAAGCTTGCGACTCTCGTCGCGCTGAGAATCGGCGTGTCAAAGACGCATATGACGCTCAAGGACTCGTCGTTCCAGTCTTCATGCTGAACGATGTGGCAAACGGAGAACCGCTTTTGCCTGATCTTGAACTGCGCGACAATCCTGAGGATCCCTATATTGAGGATCACCGGACGGGCACAGGGATTGAACAGGACAATAAGTTGGTAATGGCTAGGAAGTGGTTGAAAGACACTTCTATAAGGCCTGAAATGACAGATAAACGGTTCAGATCGTTTCTCAAATTCTCGCGACAGTTTTTCCTCAAAAATGGAAAAATGTACAAGAGATCGACCAACGGGGTTCATAGACTGGTCGTGGACAAGCACCACAGGACTTATATGATGAAGGCGTGTCACGACGCGCTGGGTCATAAGGGTCTTTTCAGCACTAAGAGCCTGTTGGAAACTCGGTTTTGGTGGCCTGAGATGGAAAGAGACGTCGACTGGTGGATAAAGACTTGTCATAGCTGCCAAGTCCGCCAGAAAACTCTCCTCTGTACTCCACCGACGCCGACAATGACTCCAAGTGTATTTCAGAAAATACACACAGACGTCATGATTATGGGAACACCTTCCAACGGATACAGATATGTCGTCGCAGCAAGGGATTCTTTGACCCGCTACGTGGAAGCGCGACCGCTGCAGGCTGACAACGCCAAGGCAATCGCGCGTTTCTTGCTCGAGGACATAGTGTGTCGCTGGGGGTGTCCTAAGTGGATTGTAACCGACAACGCAGGACAATTTGTCGCGGCGTTGAATTGGCTGCAGAAGAAATATGGTATCAAGGGAATAAGGATATCTCCTTACAATTCCCAAGCGAATGGCACTGTTGAAAGAGGTCACTGGGACATTCGACAGTCACTGTACAAAGCTACTGGGGGAAACGCCTCCAAATGGTTTTGGTTCTTCCCACAGGTCTTGTGGGCAGATAGAATTACAGTGCGTCGCGGGCTGGGTTGTTCACCATACTTCGCAGTATGTGGGGCCCACCCTACCATCCCTCTGGATATAGTCGAAGCTACGTGGTTAGTCGAATATCCTGACCGGATCGTCGACTCTGCGGATCTCATTGGTCTCAGAGCACGCGCTCTAGCGAAACACGCCGACCATATAGAAGATATGCGCAGCCGCGTCAGCGACGCCAAATTAAAGATGGTTCAACGCTACGAGCTCGAGTACAAACATGTGATCAAAGATTACAAGTTTGTGCCAGGGGACTTAGTGTTGGTCAGGAACACAGCTATTGAAAAATCATTGGACAACAAGATGAAAGCTAGATATCTTGGTCCCATGATTGTAGTTCGAAAGACCAAAGGAGGTTCTTACTTGGTCTGTGAAATGAACGGTGCGATGTTCCATGCGAAAGTCGCGGCGTTCCGAGTAATACCCTATTTGGCAAGACAGAAGTTGACACTCTCTGAAGATATAAAGAAGCTGATAGACATTTCGCCTGCTAAACTCGATGAGTTGGTAGAGGAAATATCTGACGTCCGCGACTACCAGTTCGAAGGCGTGAAACTCAAGAACTCGGACAGTGACGACGACGACGACCCTGTAGAGGATCCAGCTTCTGTCGAGTGAAAGTCTGGCAGACAAGCAATTGTCGCGGTAGGCTCTCGCACGACAAGACGTCGCTTCTCTCAGTTTTAGACAGAATTCAGTATATTGCTTGGGTGCTAGCTGGTACCTAAGGACTATACTGGGTTGTATCTAAAAGAAAAAGGTCATAAAGGAGGTGCGCGAGAAGAAGAGACGCGACTTCATAAATAAATGACAAGAGAGAAAGAGACATATGGAAGGAGAGTGCAGATAGAACAAAATAGGAAAAGATTAGGCCGCATTCTTTGACATCGAGAGGTCAATGGCTTCCTTGACGTCCTTGAGCGCGGTCTTCCATTCCTCTAGCCGCGACGTGACGTAGTCGCGTTCCTCGATGAGGAGCTCGAGTGGAATGGACCGCCGCAACCGGTACAATTGATGTCGATGCACTCGGTCCGCAATAAACCTTCGGTCGGACGCGGACGCTGCCAATCGGTTAGCGAAGTGTCGCGACACGAGAATACAACTGCGAGACTCACCCGGGGCCGCATCAGTGGTACTGTTGCTGAGTCGCTGCCTCTTCGAGCCGGTGACAACGAACGATGGCTGGGTAATTGGTCAGAAATGTAGTCGCCGCGACTGAGTGAAACTCACGTCTGGAAACTCTGGAGACAGCTCCCTAGAGCCTCCATCTGCTCCGCGTGAAGTTTCGACATTTTGGCGCTGAGAAGACGCATCGACCTATCGTGCTCGTCTATGAGTCGAATGATAGTCCCATAGACGTCCGCGAGCCCTACGGAGTCGTCATGACCAGATCCGTCGACCGATCGAGAACCGGACCGTCCTGCGACGGTCTTGCGAGTAGATGGTCGCGGGGTCTGTGAAGAATCAACCTGTGCTCGGCAAAGGCTCGAGACGGACGCACCTTCTCTTGAACAGGAGTGGGGGCCTCCATCTCGACGTCTGAATCAATGTCGATAGCAGGAGTTGGGCCTGAAGCCTCAGGAACAGGGTCTTCGGCCTGTGCAACAATATCCGTAAGAAAATCTGGACAAAGACAGGGAATCATACCTTGGCCTTCCCAGACGACGACGGAGTCGCAGCAGGACGTGGGATGCTCTCCTGAGCCTGTCGCAGGCTGATGATCGCCGCGACAAGGGACTCATGCCAAATCAGATAGGCTCGATACTTGTTGACGGCCTTAGTCTGAGAGGCGTCGCGCTGCTTCTCTGGAACTTCCTTGAGCAGTTCCGTCTGAGACAGAGCGAGCGTGGTGGCCTCCTCGAGACAATCCAAAACGTCGCGGGGAGGATCTTGAGCAGCAAACGAGCTGGCTTGAAAGCGGGTCTGTCGACGAAATAAGATAATCGCCGCGACACGCCATCACGAATCAGCTCACTCGAACAAAGAAAATATCCTTGCCAACGCTGAGGATGCCCTCTGAACCACCTAGACCCAGCTTGTTCATCGCTGCGAGAGAAGGCTTAGCCTTCTTCCACGACGCGACGAGCGATGCGAAGTCTTGGGGGAGAGGAAATGCGGACATAGCGAGGCCTGGGTAGAGAGAAAGAATGGGAACGAAATAAGGACTGAGAATGGGACTGGACATAATCTGTCGAGCCCACCCAGACTTTATATCGTCGACTCTGGAAAAACTTTTCTAGTCGCGCATCAGATAAGCCGAGGACGGCTTAGATCTGTGTTCCTGGGAGAGGGCAGATCTTACGAAAGATCAGCCACAGAGTCCGCAGAAGCCCACACATTGGAAATTGAGGTGCGCGACAACGTGCACACCCCTTGGACCCATGTGCTGGAAAGTGGAAAATCCAATGATGCTACTGAGGACGGGGTCCGGGACTTTTTCAAAAATGTTTCAAGAAAATTCTTCCAAGAATTTTTGAAAATTTGGACTCAAAGGTTCACGCGACGACGACTCAGGCAGCAAGATGTGATTTGGATTGATCTACGACGACGACGATATGTATGCAAGATAATAAATAAAAATTCGGGACCGCGACGTTCACGGACGGTGGAACGAGCTGAACTACTGCTCATCCACCTCCATGGCAGTCTCACCCGCGGCGACGGAGCCCTCGTCCTCGACGTTGACGGACTGGCCTATCTATCCGACAAGTCCTGGCGTGTGGCAGTGCATGTCAATCAGCAATCAGTGGGCGCACGCTTCGCACACAACTGAGGGTCTCCTCAATATTCCTCAGCCCTGGCTATTCACTGGTTCGTCCAGCCCTGCATATATTTTTGATATTCACATCCCTGGACTGCTGTCTGCACATTTATCTCTACACCCCTGCCTTTCTTACTTCACCATCCACTTGTACCTGTTTTTCCCCTCTCACTTCCCTGGTTCCTCTGTTCACCGTCCCTTGCTCCATCCTGTCGATATTTCACCCACTCTGATGATTATTTCATTGTCTCACATACAAAAGCTTGTAGTTGGACAAAAGAAAAATAGATTTATTCTCCTCATAGTCTTGAGTTCAGTTCTCGTCTTCAGCTCGTTTCTACTTGGGTATTTCGACCCTCTGCTTCGTCGCATCCGTCCCACGCCGCCCTCGACTTCGTCCCACGTCTAAAATCATCATTTCTTACTGCCTGCCACGGCACTGAATCTTGTGGACCTCCTCGCACATCACACTTATTCCTGCACTGTTTTAGGTCGTAGCTGACCCCCATTTTGTGTTAGCTCGCACCTATTCCGTCCGCAGGCACGTCATTTTGGAGCCCACCGCGAGGGGATTTCAACATAGATTCTGGTGCCTCTCGCAGTCTGCGACACAACAATCATTCTGAGCTACGTCGCACGCTCCGTGAAGAGCTAGCTGTTGCTCTCAACGACCCCACAACTCTCTCTTTCGACGACGAACACCTTTTTGACATTGTCCCCAGCGCCCTTGCACAACACAACAACCTCTCACCGCATTCCCCGAGCTCTCCAACGCTATCCTGGCTCTTTGATTCGCCTCCAACAACGCGTTCACCATCCCCACTTCACAACACAAATATTCCTTCTCAAAATATGGCTACTCCCACTCCCATGCCAGCCAGAGGCGATCGAAACGCCCCAGTCTTTGATTCGTCCAAGCCCCACGAGTTGCGCCGTTATTTCCTCGATCTGGAGTTCCTTCTAGCTCGATCTGCCGTCACTGACGCTGCCCAAATGAAGGGGCATGCGGTCAGATTCCTTTCCGTCGAAGATCAGGAGATTTGGGAAGGTCTACCGTCATTCTCAGACGCCAACAAATCGTACCACGACTTCAAATTGGACGCCCTCAGCCTCTACGCAGGGAACGACACAGATCGTCGTTTCAGCCTCGACGATTTGGACATGCTCGTTGGGCAGACATCTCGCATGGGAATCCACACAAAGGACGACCTCACACAATTTTATCGACGATTCCTACACATCACAACATTCCTGATTAGCAAACAACGACTCTCTGTGGCAGAACAGAGCCGATTTTTCCTTCGAGCTATGAATCCAGCCTCGTTGTCCGTCTCAGTTCGCCAGAGACTTCAGATCAAGAAGCCAGACGTTCACCCTGAGGATCCATATGATTTGTCAGATCTGTACGACGCTGCTAAATTCGTCCTTTCAGGATCATCGACCTTACTTCCTGGAATGCCCACGTCTCAGCCCGGAACCAAGCTCACAATCAAATCAGACCCTGGAATTACTGCACTAGTTTCATCTGTCTCAGATCTAGTTCGAATAATCGCTGCTCAACACGCCAATCCTGGTGCCCCAGCACAATCACAGTCCGCCAACGCCCTGCCCCGCCGTCGCCGTCCTGATGGCTGCAGTTATTGCAGTGATCTCGAGCATTTTATCAGCCAATGTCCCCACGTTTCGACGGATATTCGAGACGGAAAATGCCGCCGCAATGTGGATGGGAAAGTCGTCCTCCCTCAGGCGCATATGTGCCAAATATTGTCCAAGGAAAGGATCTTCGAGAGCGCATTCAGAAGTGGCATGAAGCGAACCCAGGTCAGGCAGCAGCTCCGCAGATGATTTTGGAAGTTTCTCACCAGAATTTGCTGTCTTCTGCGGCGCCTGGGCTCGTTCAAACGTTCAAACTCACGGACGAAGAACGAATGGCAGTTCTGACGGCTGAAATTAATCAACTACGCACACGGGCCCAAGCTAAACGCGCTATGGAAGTTGCTAATCAACCAGAAGTCCCTGAACGCACTATTCCACCGGCGGTAGCGCGAAATCCAGTCGTTCCACCTGTTCCAATCGAAACCGTCCCTCCTGCGACCGCCCCTGCTGCTCCAGTTGCCCCGCCTCAACCCCCAATCCATCCGTACGCCGCAGCTCGTGATGGCGCTTACGCACCGCCCAAAGAACGAAATGTTGGGATTCCAGCGCAGAAATCACAACCCCCACGCTCTTCGGCTCCGATCTACAACCCCAAAGATGCTGCAGCTGTTTTTGACGCCATTTTGGACATCCCTGTCACCCAGACGCTTCGCCAGACCCTGTCGATTGCCCCAGAAGTCCGTGCTCAATTCCGCGAAGCCACTAGTTTCCGTCGTCCCCCTGCCAAGACTGGCGAGGCAGTGCCTCAATTCCTGCATCCTGTCACTGATAGCACGCCCTACGACCTTCCATATGCTCAGGACGACTCAGATTTGGTCGAAAAAGTGCTTCAGCAGCAACGAAACGAAGATGCACGCCTTGCTTTGGCTGCGGAGCATTTTCCAGTCGCCTACAGCCAGACGTTCCCCCCAGACGCTTGGGTGGTCCCAGATAAATTCGCCGTCTACTACGATCAGACTGGAAGGTTGCCAGACAATCTAGTTGTGGCTGCCGAGTCCCGGCCATCCGCTCGATCCTCCCAGTGATTGACAACCAGCAACAAGTGGAATGCATCGTCGACAGTGGTTCTCAGATTATTTCGATGTCCCAGGCAACCTGTCACGAGTTGGGACTTGCGTATGACCCTCGAATCGTTCTACAAATGCAATCTGCCAATGGAACAATCACACCGTCGCTTGGACTAGCCCGAAACGTCCCGGTTCGCATTGGGGACATCACATTGTACCTACAGATGCACATTCTGCGTGACGCTGCCTACGCACTCTAGGCAGACTGGTATGAGACCCTAACAGGGTGGTCAAATGGGTCATTTTTGGTACCCGAGTAGGGTCAAATACCACTATGTCGGGCAGCAACCAACTTCCATGTGGGTATGGGTAACCCAGGGTAAAAACGTTGGTCAGGACCAAACAAAGAGCAGGTGGTGCCTACCACACGGACGGAATCAGTGGTTCCAACCAGGGTGTGGAATGTGGTATTTGCCGCCCCGGTACCGTGCAGATATTGAAACTGAATTTTTGCGCAATCAGGGCGGTATTGCAGATAGGACGGGTATGGGCACAGGCTCGAGCGTCGGAGCACTCTGACAACTCTTGCAAGCACCCTGGAGGCCGGGCTGCGGCCATAGGAGCCCCCAGTGCTGTCCGCAGGCCAAATGTCGGATTTTCTGCGATCAGGGTGGTATTGCAGATAGGACGGGTATGGGCACAGGCTCGAGCGTCACAGCACTCTGACAACTCTTGCAAGCACCCTGAAGGCCTGGCTGAGGCTATAGGAGCCCCCAGTGCTGTCCGCAGGCCAAATGTCGGATTTTCTGCGATCAGGCCGGTATTGCAGATAGGACGGGTATGGGCACAGGCTCGAGCGTCACAGCACTCTGACAACTGTTATGAGCACCCTGGAGGCCGGACTGCGGCCATAGGAGCCCCCAGTGCTGTCTGCCGGCCATATGTCGGATTTTCTGCGATCAGGGCGGTATTGCAGATAGGACGGGTATGGGCACAGGCTCGAGCGTCACAGCACTCTAACAACTCTTGCAAGCACCCTGGAGGCCGGGCTGCGGCCATAGGAGCCCCCAGTGCTGTCCGCAGGCCAAATGTCGGATTTTCTGCGATCAGGGCGGTATTGCAGATAGGACGGGTATGGGCACAGGCTCGAGCGTCACAGCACTCTGACAACTGTTATGAGCACCCTGGAGGCCTGGCTGAGGCCATAGGAGCCCCCAGTGCTGTCCGCAGGCCATATGTCGGATTTTCTGCGATCAGGCGGTATTGCAGATAGGACGGGTATGGGCACAGGCTCGAGCGTCACAGCACTCTGACAACTCTTGCAAGCACCCTGGAGGCCGGGCTGCGGCCATAGGAGCCCCCAGTGCTGTCCGCAGGCCAAATGTCGGATTTTCTGCGATCAGGGCGGTATTGCAGATAGGACGGGTATGGGCACAGGCTCGAGCGTCACAGCACTCTGACAACTGTGAGGCCATAAGAGCCCCCAGTGCTGTCTTCAGGCCATATGTCGGATTTTCTGCGATCAGGGCGGTATTGCAGATATGAACTTATCAACCTTCACACAGGTCTTGTTCTGCTATGATCTGGTTCCTGCTCCCCCTGACTTCATTCACTCTCCCCAGCTGTGGATGTTTCCATCAATTCTCTATGGTTCCCTATGTGAACAGCTATACTGCTTTTACCGTACTGGCCGCCACCATACAGTCCTCTAGATGGTTGCAGCCACTCCACGATGGATATGTGGTTCCAGCCACTTCAGCCCTCCTCCAGTGGCTGCAGCCAACATGCGGTACCAGCCACTTCGTTCCTTCTTCAGTGGCTGCAGCCAACATGTGGTACCAGCCACTTCGTTCCTTCTTCAGTGGCTGCAGCCAATATGTGGTACCAGCCACTTCGTTCCATCCTCAGTGGCTGCAGCCAACATGTGGTACAAGCCAATTCCCTCTTACCCACTGGTTGCAGCCTTTCATCTGGTTGTGGCCACCGTTCTTCATTCAACTGGACAGCGACCACACCCTCCCCGACGGTATTGGTCGCGGCCATTCACTCACTCAACTGGACAGCGACCACACCCTCCCCGACGGTGTTGGTCGCGACCACTCAAATCACTCTTCGTGGTCGCGGCCATTCACTCACTCAAAGGATGGCACAGCGACGATGTCGATTGCGGACAGTGTACAGACCTGACGTGGCAGCAACCGTCCCCCTTTCTACCAGGGTCGTCGCAATGCAGGCACTTGAAAGCAATTCTCACCCGAGGCCATTCTGATCAAACCCAGACTGCTCCAAACTAGCACGTACATCATAATTATGCTCTATGCAACTTTTCACTATCCACTCAAGCTACGGTGAGATAACTTTGCAATGAACAGGGCACCAACCTTCTCATCCCACGGGCACTTTTCACTCTGTTTCTAGATCATGCTTAGCGAGGCGATTCGCAACGCTCAGTACAACTCACTTTTCACACGCCCTGTGAGGTCTGGGGGATCTGAGGGCAGTCGCTATCCAGGAATATCACACGGTGGATCGATGAACGCTTTGCGGATATGGACCCACCCATGAATTGACTCCGCGAGAGTCCTAGCCCCAGTCTTGTGCTGACCGCAGTGGGTAATCAGTCGTCGAGGGACGTTCGGCGGGATTCTATACAACGTCGGGACTATGACACCCATGAGCATACACGAAAGTTGCAAGCACAAACGCGGCGACTTACCGCAGTGTAGGGGCAATCAGGGATCGTGCTGGAGAAAAAAACCACGATCAACCTGCTCCGCCGCAGCTCATGCGCCCGGAAACACCACCTGCTCTTTATCCCACCGGGACATATCTGTGGGATCTAGCCTTAGCGGAAGCGCTGGGAAGAATGGAATTCGGCTCGGCGTCGTCAGAGGGTTCGCTGGAAAAGGTGATGAGATTCATGTATTCGAGTGCGGGATACTGCGGCTCAAGAGATTTTTGTGCCAAACGCTGCGGGTCGGGGGATCGTCGCGCCAGACGCTCAGCAAGCCTTGCGTGAACCATGCGATACGACGAGAGTTTTTTCGGGGAACGAGTGCTGACTACGGGCACATTGAACATGGGCGAGTAAGGCGGCGTCGAAGTCACAGACATACGGATGGATTCTGAGTGCGAGGAAGCGGCCAGTCTGGAGGCGATCGGGGATCGGGACTGTGCGTGCTGGAGTCTACCGCCTGAAGCGGATCCACATGCTGCGCTTTCGGTTTCCATGTTCCGAGTTTGATAGGATGAGGCGATGGCGGAGGTGGACCGGGAGGTGATTTCAGAGACGCGTGGTGGGACGTATTGCGCGTAATCTTCTGCGGAGACGGCGGCCGTCCATCCTGCGTTTAATCGGTATCGCCCTCGCTTGTGGGCTCAGCATAGGCCACGTTTCTCCCCATGTTGATCTCGATAGGCAACGGAAAGGCGGGGGGGAGAAGTACCACGTTTGCTTGGAGTAGCATGGGAGAATTTAAAAAGCTGTGCCCCGATGCGGGACCGCATAATACTGATGAGGGATGGGAGGAGTCATGGCTGTGTCTTGATTTTCAAGTGATTGGAGATCAGAAGTGTGGATCGAGAAGCATTTTACTGCGTGTGGGGACGCCCAGAGTATGTAAAACAAGAGTATTTAGTAGTGCGTACAGCATTCATACAAGAATCGGCGGTCGCTTGACAGCGGTTGTGGCCATTTCGTAGGAGCGCCTAGTAGTGACCAGCCCATGATAGCGGCCTACCTACAGATCCCTAATTGACATGTGCTTGCTCAAGTACACGAGCACGGCAGGATGTGCATGGCTCCCCAGTCGAATTACCCGGCACAGTATCCAAGATACACCGTAGTGGCGGATCAGATTCAAGACGAAGTCCCTCGACTTCACAGACTGGGAAGAAGAAGGACCTCGAGATCTGGCCCCAAAACTTCAGCGACATCCGCAATAGATCGCGGCGATGATACTGGGGTTTTGGTTGAACGAACACCCTCGGTATCCTCCTCGGGGTCCCCGGATGAAACTTGTATATGACAATCACTGAGGCAATCATGAGTCGATATTCACCTCGAGGACAGTAACGTACCCTGATGCAACTCGCAGATAGTCTCCGTGTAACTACAGACGACTTCGCCCGGTGGACAGGTGCAATTCTGGAACGCATAAAAGTCTGAATGAGTGATCATCTTAGTGAAGACTGTGAAGTGTGCTTACAGGTTTCTCAATGACTCCCTCTGTCTGTTCTAGGTCTGAATCCGGTTCCGGCTCGTCTTGTTCCGTCACTCCTTCTACGGAATCCGTCTCCTCCTCTCCTTCGTCTGAACTACAGGAATCGTCCTTTTGTTCAGACTTGCGACACAACGAAAGCTTGGGTTCTGATTTGTAGAACTCGTAGTCTTCCCATGTGCCGCAAGCACGACAAAAGTTGCTGTGCCGCATGAGCTTTCCATTTGTCACAAGATAGCGATACCACCCCAGTGGACCAACAGCTCTTTCGCAGCCCTCGCATGGATCCAAATCGGGGAACTCCGTAGTGACGTTGGGAATGGCGCGCAGGAGCTCGCGGTACTCGAAGAGAATCTGGAAGCCCTTGGTATCTATCGCGTTGATATCGCACAGGTCGTCAGGGTTCAACGAAGGCTGTATCTTCTGGCCTTTAGACACCGTGCCGCAGATGCCCAGCGGTGACATGAACCAGGGATACTCGGCTTGCAGGTCGCAGAGAGGCGGGGGAGCGTCTGTGTCAGTGTCACCTGCCACCACTGGCGACTGCAAGCCACCTTCTGGCGTGATCGAGTCGATATCCATCGGTACGGGGAACAGGTGCGTTGATGGTGAGTGCGTGGCTTGATCCTGCGCAACCACATCCAAATCCATTGCAACCGGAAATAAATCGGTCTGCACGGCAGCCGCAGGCGCGATAGGTGGGCGCACTGGAGGCGCGAGAGGTGGGCGCGAAGGGGACGCGATGGGTTGGCACGCTGGAGGCGCGATGGATGGGCGCATTGGAGGCGCGATGGGTGGGCGCGTTGGAGGCGCGATGGGTGGCAAAACTGACGGAGGCGGCACAGCTGGGCGCGAAGGGGGCGGCATCGTGGGCCGTTCATTTGGAGCTTTTGGAGTACTCGTGTTTGGCTCTGATTTGATGCGGACACGGTGGTGCGAAGGCTGCGTAGGAGGTGGGATGGGTGGGAGCGTAGGACGTGGGATGGATGAGAGCGTAGGAGGCGGCATAGACGGCCGTTCCGGTGGAGCCGGTGGAGATTGGAGACGATCGCTAGCCAGGGAAAAGGATGGCGGCGGGCAACGAAGAGACTTAAATGAGCGGGATGCTAAAGAAATTACGGACGTGTGAGCAGCATAACAAGCCCTGAGCGAAAAATCTCACCGGGCATGGCGGTCTCAAGCGAAAAGGAAAGATAAGCTCATCCATCAACGTGTCACTGATGGACTGGCAGAGATGGGAGGAACGGTGGCAGCGCTCCAATACTCACATGGGGGAAAACCTTCCGGTTCCTCTTCATTCACTCACGGGCAGCAACGGGAATGAGATTGGACATGTACAGAAAACACAAGAGTAACTAT